AAATGCTGGAAGTTAACATTCAACGTTATTATCAATATTTCTTGTCCCTAGCCTTAAGTCGGTCATTTTCTTGGTTGCTTTTTGTTCTCTTATTTCTGTATGTGTGTCTTTAGTTTTCCTGGTAGAGTACTCCTTTCAGAACTTCTTGAAGAGTGGATCTGGTATTGGAAAATTCTTTCAGGTCTTGTTTATCTGAGAATGTTCTTATCATTACTTTTCATATGATGGATAATCTTGTCAGGTATAGTATTCTTGGTTGAAACTGTTTTTCATTTAATACTTTGAATATATTTTCCCATTTTTTCCTTGCTCAGATTGTATCTTATGAGGGGTCTGAGGTTAGCCTGATGGGATAACCTTTATAAGTAACCTGATGTTTCTCTCTTGCCAATTTTAGTACCTTGTTTTTGTCTGTGGATTTTGCCAATCTGGCTATAATGTGCCTTGGAGAAGATCTTCTTGGGTTGATTCTACTAGGGATCCTTTGTATTTTCTTGAATGTCTCTCTAGATGGGAAAGTTTTCTTCTAGGAGTTCATGAAATAGATTATCAATGCCCTTACTAGTTTCTTCACCTTCTGGGATACTTGTTGTATAAATGTTTGGGTACTTAATGGTGTCTACTATTTCTCATATAGTATTCTCATTTTAGGGTTATTTTCTCAGGTTTTTTTGTTTTGTTTTGTTTTGTTTTGTCATTTTTTCTAGATCAGATGTTTTGCCTTAAACACCCAAGATTCGATCTTCTGCATGGACTAGTCTGCTTTTAATACTTTTGAGGAAGGTTTTGATTTCCTGAATTGCATGCTTCATCTCTAATAGCTCCATTTGATTCTTTTTTATGATGTATATTTCCTCTTTTATTTTGTGCAAGAACTTCCTCACCTCCTGGAACTCGTCTATTTTCTCCAGCATCTTCTGGACTTCATTGTCTCTCAGCTCTTGCATCTCATCTAGTTTTGTCACTATGAATATTCTGAATTCTCTATCAGACATTTCCTCGAGTTCTTCTGTACTCTCTGTGGATGATGAAGGATTGTTCTTTTCCCTTAAGGGAGAGATATTTTCTTGGTTTCCCATGTTTCTTGTGTCTCTGCAGTGGTTTCTGGTTATTCTGTGACAAAATCTCTCCTCTATTGTGCTTTGTGGTATCCACAGAAAGAAATTATGAGTTCAGATTTATAAAAAGAAATTTCTTCCTTAAATCAAGAGGTTCAATAAGCATTGAGGATTTCAATGACTCTAAAAGTATTCAGATGCTCGGCTACTGTGCATGTAGGCCTATCTAGACATTCAGTATGTGGAGAGTGAAGAACAGAGTGGAAAAGTAAGGTTAAAAAAATAAAAGCAAGAGGAAAAGAAAAAAAAAAAACTTGACAAAAATGACCAAAAAATAGAACAACAACAACAAAAATCTTAAGATAAAAAATGATGGGACCAGCAGTTGACATAATGGCTATGTCACTGAACTCCCATGTAGTCATCCACAGTTTGAGTCCCAGACCTGGTGGCTTAAACTCACACTGGGCACGTGTGCCTGCATGCCCAAGTTCCCAAGAGTAGAATGGAGGAGAAGGGATTGTGGCGTGGCCATTCTTCCTAGGGGGTGATTTCTCTCTTTCTGTCTCTCTGTCTCCGTCTTTCTGGTGAGTGCATGTGTCCTATCGCAAAAAAAAAAAAAACCTCTCAAAAAGATAAAACATGAAAACAGCATGGCGCACTACACGCCAGGACACACCTCAGCTTTGAAATGGCTTCTGAAATTAGCAAGAGACAGAAAAGGCCCGAGTTGGGGCCAGCAGGTGGTGTGGTGCTTAAGAGTGCTGGACTCCCATATGGCCAACCACGGTTCGAGTCCTGGACCTGGTGGCTTGCTTTCTCACTTTCTCTCTCTCTCTCTCTTTCTCTCTCTCTCTTTCTCTCTAGTCTAAATCAATCAATCAATCAATCAATCAATTTAAAGAGCTAAATAAAATAATTATTTTTAAAAATCAAAAAAAAAGGCCCGAGGTGAGGAGAAGTAGTTTAAAATTTTTTAAATAAAATAAAAAATTTAAAGAGAGAGAGAGAGAACATGAGACAGATAGACAGACAGAGAGAGGACAGAGGTTGCCCTCCCTTGTCTGAGTATTTCAGGAGTCTAGAAGATGGAGTTTAGCGCATGCTGAACTTTCTTGAGCATGCCAGGACACACCTCAGCTTTAAAATGGCTTCTTGTCTGAGCATTTCAGAAGTCTAAAAAAGATGGAGTTTAGGAATACAGGGATTTTTTCTGATTATAAAAATAATTTGGCAGGCCAGCCAATGGTGTGGTGATTGAGGTGACTGGATCCCACATGGCCAACTGTGTGATTCAAGCCCCAGACCCAGTGAGACTTGAAAAATACACATATGGGAGTTTGCCCAAAATCCTGAGAGGAGAAGGATGTAGAGGGGATTCCAACTTGGCCAGCCCCTGTGGGGTGCACTTTCTCATTTTGTTTCTCTCTCTCTCTGTCCTGTCTCTGGCAAGCGCACACACCCTAGTTCAAATTCTAAAATAAATTGGGAAATAGAGGGGGCCAGCAGGTGGCATGGTGGTTGGGGGTGCTAGATTTCCACTGGCTGGCTGCAGTTCGAGTCCTGGACCTGGTGGCTTGTTTTCTTACTTTCTCTCTCTCTCCCACTCTCTCTCTCTCTGGTCAAATTAAAATGAATAAATAAGGTAAGTAAAAAATAATTCCTTAAAAAATAAAAAGTCCTTCTTGAAGGCAAGATTAAAAGAAAAACAAAAGAAAGAAAGCGATACGTTCCTTAGATTACTCCTTTCTGCCTGCAGATGCTGCCGGGGAAGCATCGTTGAACTCCCTCTTCCCACTGCCGTCATGTCTAAGTCGGAGTCTCCCAAACAACCGGAACAGCTGCGGAAACTCTTTACCGGAGGGTTGAGCTTTGAAACAACCGATGAGTGCCTGTGGAGCCATTTTGAGCAACAGGGAATGCTCACGGACTGCGTGGTAATGTGATCTCCAGGAGCTTTGGGTTTGTCACGTGTGCCACTGTGGAAGAGGTGGATGCAGTCATGAATGCAAGGCCACACAAGGTGGATGGAAGAGTTGTGGAACCAAAGAGGGCTGGCTGTCTCAAGAGAAGATTCTCAAAGACCGGGTGCCCACCTAACTGTGAAAAAGATCTTTGTTGGTGGCATTAAAGAAGACACTGAGGAACATCACCTAAGAGATCACTTTGAACAGTATGGAAAAATGGAAGTGGTTGAAATCATGACTGACCGAGGTGGTGGCAAGAAGAGGGGCTTTGCTTTTGAAACCTTTGATGATCATGACTCTGTGGATAAGACTGTCATTCAGAAACACTATACTGTGAATTGCCACAGCTGTGAAGTAAGGAAAGCCCTGTCCAAACAAGAAATGGCTAGTGCTTCCTCCAGCCTTAGAGGTCGAAGTGGTTTTGGAAACTTCAGTGGAGGTCGAGGAGGTGGTTTTGGTGGTAATGGCAAGTTTGGTCGTGGAGGAAACTTCAGTGGTCATGGTGGCTTTGGTGGCAGCCGTGGTGGTGGCGGATACGGTGGAAGTGGGGATGGCTATAATGGATTTGGTAATGATGGAAGCACTTTTGGAAGTGGTGGAAGCTACAATGATTTTGGCAATTACAACAATCAGTCTTCAAACTTTGGACCCATGAAGGGTGGAAACTTTGGAGGTAGAAGCTCTGGCCCTTATGGCGGTGGAGGGCAATACTTTGCCAAACCACGGAATCAAGGTGGCTACGGTGGTTCCAGTAGCAGCAGCAGGAGCTATGGCAGTGGCAGAAGGTTTTAATTAACTGCCAGGAAACAAAGCTTAGCAGGAGAGGAGAGCCAGAGAAGTGACAGGGAAGCTACAGGTTACAACAGATTTGTGAACTCAGCCAAGC